ACCTCCCCTTGGGTAACTAGCATAAAGACACCAATAGGTGGCAGTAAATAGCAGTATACGTACAAACTAGAAAAACAAATGCAGGTGGCATGACTTTTGCAGCCATAACAATATGTTTGGAGATAGGCGATTTGCTTTTCTTCCCATGAGAATATCCTAACATTTTCCTGTATGAGTTAAGCTTTTGGACTTGAAAAATCCCATTTGCCATTTAACAGACATTCTGTTTTAGCAGATACTCTTCCCCATTCACTCATTCAATTGATATAAAATGTATTTTGTGCATACTGGGAAGGTTCTTGGATTGGCAGAAACCTTTAATTAGGTTTTCTGACTGCTCTGTTTCACCGTCCTACCAAGTTATAGCATCTCAGGTGATTGTATGCAACAAGTAAAGGCCACTATCATGATGTTACACACACATGCAAATATTGTTGAAAAAGCAATTCTAACATTATTTCCAAAAAATGCTGATTCTTTGCTTATCACGTGTCAAAGATCAAAACAAAATACATCAGCAATGGAAAACACAGAAGGGAAATGCTTATATTGAAATCTTCATACTGAAATGCTCATGTCAGAAGCAAGATATTGCTTCCTTCCCCACTAAATCAGCACTTTTCAGAACACAAAGAGGAGAAAGTCAAATATTTGATTTGTTGGCAGCTATTACTGCAGTATTTTTCGAAAACAAACGTAAAAATCCTGAATTAACCTTTATATAATCTCCTTCTGGACTACTGTCTATTATTGACCATCAAGTGTCTTCACCTTTTCACCAGCAATAAATGCAGACAAACATCACAGAGAAAAATAATAAAAGAAATAGTGGAATAAAAATAAAATAATTGTTTGGCACTAAGGCAAGACAACTAAATATACCTATAATACATAACTATTTGTTAATCCAAAGTACTCTTAGGTTCATGATGGATTCTAACAAGTGATATGAGTATGTATCTATATACAGTGGGGCAAAAAAGTATTTAGTCAGCCACCAATTGTGTAAGTTCTCCCACTTAGAAAGATGAGAGAGGCCTGTA